CCTCCTCCTCCCATAAAAGAATGGAAAGCAGAAGAAGCTCTCCATTCTAAAAGTAGTGTGAGCAAATACATATTTATATATATATATATATATATATATTATACATCCGATTGACACAAATGATTCCTATGCATGTGGGGGAAATAAAAAAAAAAAACGACGGATGCTTCCAAAAACAAATTTCTTCCCCTACTTGTGGAGAAAGAAAAGCACGACAACCATTTTGCTTAGCGTTGAGTGCACAGCCAGTTCAAATGTACTCCATAACTTCTTCGCCTCTAAGTAACATCCAGCTTGTCGCGCCTCCGTAAATAAGCATCGAGTTCACCCCTGATACCACGAAACTCTTCCTCATAGTCTTGGCCTTCAAGTCGATAAAGGCGTAATTGTTCCTCCGCTTCAGCATAAAGTGCTTTAATGCGGGCCAATTCGCGACGTAATGCCTTCAGTTCAACCTGATTTGAACGCTCTTCCTCGGAAAATTTAACATTGCTGGACACAGTGCGGCTCCAACAGCTATGCATATTCTCCACATATGCGGCAACCTCGCGCAATGATGGAGCTGCCGAAAGACCCTGAGCCAAGGGCTTTTGAGTAGCCAGACGAGGAAGAGCATCCCGTCGTATCAAGCGTGGAACTTCGCATTCCTCAATTTTTTTAAAATACATCGCATCTGAAGAATAATCAGCATATACGGATGTTTCAGTAATAAAGGAGTGCTGATTACTATAAGCCCTTTCTCGCGGCAATATAATTTTTTTCCGTGGTACAAACGGAGCTAAGATATGTTGCGTAACAGGATCATAAAAACGTTTGATCCAATCCATTTGAGGGAAGCGAGACATCAATCCGCCAATCAACTGCGCTGTAGTCAAGAGAATGGCTTCATCTTCATTATTAAACGCAACGCTTCCCTGAAGTTTATTCTCCACGTGCACCACAGCTAAAGCCCTCTGCGAAGGCGGGTCCGAGGCAAAAACAGGAAATATAAGAAGACTTGAAGTAATTTTAGAACCATCTGCAATGTGTTGATTCAAGGCAATTCCACTCGCTAAAACGTCTGCATCCAAGGAGCCCAGGCACTTATGACGAACCAACTGGGGGGGAAAGGAAAGACGGGCAGCGCAGTTAGCAATAGATACCATCTCATCGTCTTTACGAACAAAAACATGGGCAAAAGAGGCCTTCAATAATCTTGTTGAACCCTCTAATATATTATACAAGGTGCACGCCAAACAACGCGAAACCTCTTTTGAGACCGCAAGCTGCCCCTGAGGAATTTTTTCTCTTGGAACTGGAAATGCGCTGATGCTAGAAGGCTTCTTAACTACTGGCTTCCGTGTCAAAACTAAAGGAGATGTTCCTAGCGAGTATTTCACTTGTTGAGTTAGTTCGGGTAAGCCATCCGCCCGACGAGGACGCTCCCTTTCACTAAAGCTTTTCTGTACACATGTCTTCTTCTCAACAGATGATGTCGCTATCACATCCACTGCTCGGCGTATTCTAAGAGTCAAAGGCGCCAATTGATCAGGGCGTAACCCTTGTTCTGTATTTGAAAGCGTATCAAGAATATCAGCTAATAACCTTAGTTCATCTAACTGTTCATCGAGCGCGCTTATCATATTTCCAACGATAATAATAAAAAAAACTGTTTCCTTCGCCTTCCCTCTACTGCTGTGTCGGTGTTTCGACTTATTAACCCCATAAGAGGGGAAAAAGGCACACAGAAAAAAAAATGGAAGGATACAAACTCCAAAAGAAGATGAATAAAAAAAAAAGGTGCGGGAAAGGGAATATTTCAAACATACAGCAACATATATATATGGTTAGATAGATTGGCGTACATATAATCGCGGTACATAGAAAGCATAGCGATGGAAAAAAAAAAGATTTTGTTTATTTATACATCGTTTTAGGTATAACATATACCAAGAGAAAAACTGCAGTTAAAAAAAAGAGGCAAACAACACAGAAGCCGAACACTCAGCACATAAGTAAAATGAAGTTCAGGCAATTTTTCGCTATCTGCCACACCCCCGCGAACACCCACACGCACAGAAACACTTACAAAAAGAAACAGCAGAACAAGCAAAATTCATTTACTACAAGAACTGAAATGATCTCGCCTTCAACCTTAAAGCTAACAGAAGAACGCTGGTTTAAATTGGGCCACAATAATTGTCATATTATCACATCCGACTCCTTGCACCCTTGGGGCTAAACACTTATCCAACACCATTTCACAGACCAAACCAATATCACCATCTGTTTCTTTAAGACCCTTCTTGACAATATCGCAACACTCTTCATTAGACAGAACATCCCACACCCCATCACAAGCGATGACGATGAATGCATCTTCAGAAGTCAATCTATCTTTATTCACCTCTGGTAAAGCCGTAACCATTTGTTCTTCCCAAATAATCTTGGGATTATCCTTGAAATCAAAATCGCCTATTGCTCGGCTAAGCGCAATAGTACCATTGATACGTTGACACTGAACAGTCCCACCCGCCTTCTCAATTCTCGCCTTTTCTGCCGCTACAGTAGGCTTATGATCACTACTCAACGGAATAGCTCTATCTCCTCGAAACAATACCGCGCGACTATCACCAGCATTTGCACACACAATTTCACCATGAGCCAACAGTACACAAATTATGGCTGTCCCTCCTTCTGATCGAAGTGTAGGCATTTCAGAAAGCTTCATATCTAAGGATATAAAAGCTTTTTTAAACGCTTCATCATATACGCCCTCACGGTACTCGGGTGTAGCCATAAGTTCATCAAGAATATGCCCACTGCAATACTTCGCAATTTTATACCCATTGTGTCCATCAAAAACCCCAAAAAACGCATGGTTTTTCTTGCCTTCGAGATTTAACTGGGCCACATGAGCATCCTCCATTGTTTTGCGCCATCCTTGCATTCCACAACATCCAACTCGCAAATGTGAATTTTCAAATGTGCTGGTGTGCTTTTCTGTGACTGGTTTAGATAGTGTGTCTCCCATTTTCCTAGTCCTAAAAGCATGCAGATATACATATATATATATCGTAGAAACAAGTGCAAATAAAATTTTAAAAAAGGTGAGTATTCAAAAATGTGTATGTATTTATAACAATGTACAAGAATACGCTCCACAGTTGAGTTCCAACATCCACACAACCCCAAGCACTAAATTAAAAAATAACCACAAGAAGAAAAACAAAAAC